GTGAGTTTTTAATTTACCACTAGGTAGCGTGCCCGTACGTTGCTACGGGACAACTAAACTTTTATACTAAAAGCACATGGATCGCAAGATAAGACAGGAATACTGTGAAATTAAATACCGATGTTAAAGTGACATTTAATCCAAAAAGCAAAGTTCGTGAAATTAACACAGTCACATAGAGCGCGGCGTCGTAGGCTCACAACTCTACTGTATATACCTTTCTGTGCGTTACAATGGGAACAAATAATGCCCTGATAATTTGAACATGAATGTGTTGTATTGTTACCGTAACAAGACTGCTCCTCCTCCTCAACCCTTTAGAACTAATCATCTCTCTAAATTATCAGTTTGCTTCATACAAGACCGGAAGGCCACCCTTCTTCATATTTTAGATAATATAACATGTCTTCAACCATATGCCTCTAGTATTGAATTATGATCTAGTATGCCTTTGACGCTTTTAAACATTATTCCATTAGTATATGCAATTGTAACTCAATAAGATGTAGGCAATTTTTTTAATTCAATACAAAAGACTTGTAATGAACAGACTATAATTCTAGCATAGTATAATGAGACCATTATACTTGAGAAGTCCCAGATCTTGAAATTGCAACAAAGCTACTCACCCTTTCTAAAACACAAATAGTTACAGGAGGCCAGCAAAATTTCAATGCAATTCACGAGGTAGCGTGCAGGGGTGGATAGCGTGCGTGGGGATGGCATGCCATACATGGGATGTAGCAGGATCATGGGATCGCACGCAGATCATCGTAGGCTGGAGCTCTGTTGCATTAAGAATTCAAAATGCTAGATCATCGTAGGCTAGAGCTACACGATCTTACTCGGATACCGGTTGGAGTCTTTCCAGAAGTCCAGAACCCCAGTGGCGAGATCCCTATCCGTCAAAAGGCAGCTTACACGGTCGCTTCCCTTGTCATCTTCCTTGTTGGCAGCAATCTGCCTTTGTACGGGGTTCATCCCTCGTTGCCCCCCCCCTCCACTATACTGGGTGCACACGGCCAGTGCATCATCCAACTGAGTCATTGTCGAATGGCGTGCGCATCGGCCGCCTAGCAGTTGAGCACGACATCCATGGCATGTCCGTTAAAATGGGGCAGCGTACAGTGATCTCAGACAAAATTCAGTCTTACTACCACCAGCGTGATCTCAAACAAAATTCAGTCTTATTACCACCAACTTTCTTCCACATTGAGACGGTCTGCCACGCATGCTGAGATGCGGCCACAGTCAAGGTCTATGCCCATGAGTTGCAACGGGCCAATAATTATCTATGTTGAGGCAATTTTTCTAGAAAATGCAATAAAAAGAATCTCAATTCAACCATGTATCATGCAATCTACGTAATGTTCATACATGCACCCAAATAAAAATTGCTATTGCCCACCACGAAACTATTTTTTTGTCACTTTACATTGAGCAAAAGTTATGCAAGCCAATGCTTGCTTTTAAGTGTTATGATCTATGGAAAAGACTAAGCGTGATTTAGAATGGCCTCATTGATCACGCATCCAACCAGCTATTCCTCCCCTGCATCAAATCAACAGGAAAGGTTAGTCATTTAAGGTTATTAGTCATTTAAGGTTTTCATAAAAATTTGACCCTAACGGGATCAGATGGTTGGAACACCTCAACATGACAGCATGTGTTTTATAAGGTGATAACAGTAATACCTTGGCTCTTTGGAACTTGGAAGTGAATCAACTGCCTCCTGCTCGCTACCAGTAAACTACACTGCTCTTTGGAACTTGGAAGTGAATCAACTGCCTCCTGCTCGCTACCAGTAAACTACACTGCAGATTACAAAGACTCCAACATGATCTTGAGTTAAATTAGTACAAGAGTACATGACACAGTGAGATATAGCTGCAAATAATTGGGTGGAGGTAATAACTAAGTATATTCCTAATAGAAAGAATGGTAACTGAAAGGAGGAAGCCAACACCCAAGATTAGTTATATGCTCTCTGATTAAAACTACAATTGAACTTAAAAACTAACATATGCATGTTTGACATAAAAACAATTTGTTTTCACTGAATAAGGGCTTTTTTGCCAATTTGCACTCTAAAAGCACACTTCAGATATTCCTTTGTAGTCAGTGGACCAATTTTTCTAGAGATCTATACATGCATATATGAGCACCTTTTCTGAAAACAATAAAAAAAAATCAATAGATACTCTTCTCTGTTAGCATGCGTCTAAACATTTTTAATACAACATATATTCTTCATTGTTAGTATGTGTCCAAACATTTTTAATACAACAGATACACTTCTCTGTTAAATGAACTTAGTAGTTTCGTGCCAGTTAATATAGCTCCAAACAACCCAATGACAAGTTTTTGTGATTGGATGGAAAAGTATATTCATACAACTAAAAAAAGAAAAAATCATGTAAATGGATCCTCATTCTTTGGCGTTCAGTACTTAATTAGAAATATATTGCAGAGTAAGATGTGCTGACATTGCCCTTCGACCAACTTGTCCAATGTCAAGTGCTCAAAGTAACAGCAATAACATGATGCAAACTGAAAACGTCGAGAGTTTGCGAACTTTAGGATGTGCATGGAAGTTCTCTAAAAAGGGTACCTACTATGTCATCCTCTTTGATTTCTCTCTTTGCTTAGATGAACATGCTAATATATTCATGTATGAGTACTGCAAAAATCTGTTCTTTTTAGTTCTCTAAAGTAACATTGTTAAAACTGAAAATTGGATAAGAGATTTAAAAATAAAAATTGAAAATTCAGAATGCAAGATGATCAGGAGATAAAGAGCACAACATGGTTCACTGTATTTTTTTTCTCAAATATTTGAATCAGTGCATTGTACCTAATTTTTTTTAAGCCTGAACTTGCACATAGCTTAGAACTCTGAACCCTATTACTTAGAACTTTGAAACAATGAACTCTTTATTCAACCCTAAAAATGAGAGAGAGAGAGAGAGAGAGAGAGAGGAAAGCGACGCTGCATGCGGAGTATCAAGCAGTGCTTTGATGAAACATGAAAAGTCAAACAAGATAAGAGACAAGATAATGAATCTACAAAGATCAGTTACAAATATCACCATATTCAAATTGTGCCACTCTTCTACTGTAGCATCTGGAAAGTGTTCATTTATGTTCGAAGTGATCTTTATGTAGTGTACATCTGCAATGCGAATTCTGAAGTTGCCGAAGGTCTCATATAACTAAAAAAATTTCCTGCAGTGGGACAACATAGTTCCTCAGTATAATGAATCGTCAACCATAGTTTACACTATAGTTTGAAAGGTGTACCATAGAACTTAAGAAGAAGAGCATGTATACAAGTGCACAAGGGCACTGATCACCTCCATGTAAATTGTATACAATGCCTTCCTCTTCCATTGACCTTCCATTAGCATGTCACTGACATAGAATATATACTTCACAAATGTTGATACTGCCGATGTTGTTAGTATCATATACCTGAAACATGATTTGTATTTAGTCACTACTATGCATACTTTGAATCCTAACGTAATATTAGAAAAGAATAGCCAGGCAGTTAGGAATTAGAACAACAGAAGCACATCTTCAAGCTATCATAAGGATAGCCAATAGGGTTGTTACCTTGCCTGGAAGGTATGCCCCTTGATTCAGAAGCAAGAGGCAAGGAGAAATTCCACGCATGGATTCCCCACATGAATCAACACACAACAGATGAGAAGCAACAAAACCAAGGGCGAGGAAAGCACTCACAGCATCAAAGACAACAGATTAGAAATCGCTTTGACAGCTGATGTGGACCCAAACCACAAATACGAGGTAGGACAGACTCACGGGCCGTCTCCTTCAGATCCATCAACACTCATGAATTCACAATTCATATCCTTTGGTTCATCAAAAAATCCCCACCATTCAGATTCACCGATTCACCAAAAATCAAAATACCAAAAACAAAATCGCCATATAGAGGTCAAAGCCAATGACCGGCCGCAGACGGTGAGGGCGAGGGCACCCCATGCGTCATTGTCGTCGCCACTCTAGCTCACCGACGCTTAATGACGCCTGAACCCTCGACGACCAGCCCGTGCGAGCAAGGCCACGGGCAAGCGCAGCGCAGCCACCCGTCGGGATATAGGAGGACGGATGAGAGCCCTGCTTGCCGCAGCCCACACGCCAGCAACCGCGCCCGACCGGCGGAGCCACATGCCGCCGAACAAGCGGGCCGCTACCAGACGCCGCTGTCGTCTTGAACGGATGTGTGCCTGCGGCCGCCACTGGCCCGCTGGCCTAAGGCCGGGCGAGGGCGGCGGTTGATGGGATTTCGAGTGGAGGAGATTGGAGGCTCAGTTTCCTTTTTCACCAATGTCTTGTGCGGCGTGGACTCGCGGTGATCGTGCGCACCGGACTTTCCTTCTGCGGCGTGGACGCGGTCGCGCGACGAGCGGCAGGGGATCGCAGGGGAGGGTAGACCGAGGGAGCGACGGGTGCGGGAACACAGCGGGCAGGACGATGGACCCACGTTAGAACGTCGCATAAAAAATATTTTCGCTTTGTTATTTTTAGTGGCAGGAGATAAACACCACGTCAGTTCCAACCACCTGGCAGCCCGCATAGCACATGTCCGTCCAACAACGAGGAGGGTAGCCGCCGACGAAGCCAGCGGGCAGTGGCCTGGCCACCTACCCCCGGCCCCGGTCCCGGCCTCCTCCGGGTCGCACTCGCACACCCGTCCCGGCGGCCTCCCTCGCGCACAAGATCACACGCACCGCCAGGCAAACCCCCCCATCGTCCCGCGAAGACTCGATCCCCCGCCGTCCGCCCCGTATCCAAGGGCCCCGGCCCCGCATCCCTCCTCCGGCGAGCCACCGCGCCCCCGCCCATAAATACCTCTCCGCGCCAGCCGCTGCCGCTGCCACCCCCGCGAGACAGACCTGTCCGAATCGCGCCCAGGTCCCTCGCTGGGAGTCTCGCCGAGGGCCCTCCCGCCTGCCGCTAGATTCACGACGGAGATGGCGTCCGAGCTCACCTACCGCGGCGGCGGGGCGTCCACGGCCGCCAGCGCCGGCGCCGGGGGATACTCCCCGAAGCCATCCAAACCGCTCGCGTGGCTGCCCCGCGCGGCCCGCTACGCCGTCGCCGAGCACCGCCCGCTCTTCGCGCTCGCCGGGATGCTCATCGCCGCCGCCGTCATCTCCATCGCCTCCTCGTCCGCCGCCTCCTCCTCAACCACCGGCGCCGCTGCCGTCTCGTCCTACTCCAAGAACAACAACAACAACAACAACCCGCTCGCCCGCTTTTCCGTCGAGCCCGCCCACCACCGCGACGTGGCCACGCGCCACTTCGTCGGCGGCAAGGTGCCGCTGGGCCTCAAGCGGAAGGCGCTCCGCGTCCTCGTCACCGGCGGCGCCGGCTTCGTCGGCAGCCACCTGGTGGACCGCCTCCTCGAGCGCGGCGACAGCGTCATCGTCGTCGACAACTTCTTCACCGGCCGCAAGGACAACATCCTGCACCACCTCAACGACCCAAACTTCGAGATGATCCGCCACGACGTCGTCGAGCCCATCCTGCTCGAGGTCGACCAGATCTACCACCTCGCCTGCCCGGCGTCCCCCGTCCACTACAAATACAACCCCATCAAGACAATCATATCCTTTCTCTACAAATTCCTTCAGTTCCGTTGCGTTCCTTTCCTTTCATTTCCTCCATGAATGATTCATGATTGATGCCTGGATCGCGATCGCGTCTATTTTTCTTCCTTCTTTGGTGCCAAACAAAAATATTTTATATTGTTATAGGGATGGACTTGGTTTCTATTGCTTTTTGGTGGGGAATTTGTTCCTTGCTGCGGGTTTATCGGTTACGCGCAATGCATCCGGGGAGGAGGACCGATTCACTGCTCCCTGAGATTCCGTGTCCGTCCCTGAAATGGGAATATGGCACGGAAGGAGAATTTTGTCCGGAGCTCGGGATTTGTGCCACGTTCCACTCTGATTTTGGAGTTTTCTGCACAGCTGAGGGAAGCAGAGCCAGAGCTTGGCCGTTTCAGATCTCTGTCTGCTAGGCTGCCCTTTGCTCAAGGTCAAGGGCAATCCTCCTTTTCATTCAACGAACAAGAAATTTCTTCTTTTTTTTCATCGATCTATCCATGAAAGCTGGCGTCAGATGTTCAGTTGAACTCAGATTCTTTAGATGCAACTGAAGATCTCAAATCCCACATCATTTCTCTGTCGAAATCATTTGTGTTTTCAAAAAAAACTGTTTTTATGCTTCCGAATGCTGACTGCATTTTCGCGTGCGTTTCAAATAGGAAAAACGTACTAGCAGAAGTTATAGCTGTGATCTGAACTCAATTACTCCATACCGTTTTACTTTGCTTCATGATCTGTTAATGGAAGCAAAAAGTAAGCGCACGGTGTGCCTGGACCTGGGTTAGTTGTGGACTTTGCTTAGTTCTGACATAAAGGGCGCACGTCAGTTTTCAACAACACAAAAGTTGACGTCCAAGTGGCTTTTGCTCTTTACACTTTCTAAGCAACTTTGCTTACTGTTCACTTCACGTAATTTCCTTATGCTTTAGTTCCTGCTTGTTTTGCTTTCTTGAGATGTTTTGTGTTAGCCTTAACCTTTGTGATAGCACAAGACCAATGTGGTTGGCACTCTGAACATGCTCGGATTGGCAAAGAGGATCAACGCCAAGTTCCTCCTCACCAGTACCAGTGAGGTCTATGGTGATCCCCTCCAGCACCCGCAGGTGGAGACTTACTGGGGCAATGTCAATCCCATCGGTAATAACTCTTCTTGTTTATACTCTCTTTGTTCATCTCTTGAAATTAATTTCTTGCAGTGACAATTGATCATTCACGTTTCTTGGATCTATCATGATGAGGTTAGCTAATTGTTAGTTGGGTCGTGCATATGGCAAAAAAATAGCTGGATCCTGCTTTTAGCAGGGAACAGTCAGCCACCAAATAAATGATCTCTCATGCGAATTCTTTCTTTGTCATGCTTTTGTGTGACCTTCGAGAGAGCATAGTCCACTGAGGGGTTATCCTAAATATGTTACCCTGCAGCCATAGTCTTTTAGTGACATGATTTTGGGATGAGCAAAACCACGAAAAGGAGAGGGAAGGAGGGAAATGCAAGCTGGACAATTTACTGTTGCAAAGAGGAAAGCTCTAAGTTGTCAAATCTGTGTTATTTTTTTTACCCCGAGCCGTAGAAAGCAGGAATGAGCCCTTTTCAGAAATATTGCTGGTCCAGACTTGAAGCTTACTGTTGCATGAAAGAAGTCTTATATAAACAATATGCAGAAAGGTATTTGGAATCTTGCTCTCTGGAGATGCTGGCTATGGAATCTAGCTTCGTGGGCTCTTGCATGCTTTGATTCTTTTTGGTGGAAAGGGACAATGTTGGTAGGTGGAATTTGCTCCAAGAGGGCCACTTTGTGGATTCCTTTTTAATAAAGCAAGAGGGGAACACAACTCTACTTGACCAATTATGCCTAACCAAACACCCACCAACCTTTGCACCTAAAATAATGAATGAAGTTTGTTGAGCTATTTACGTAGTATTTGTTGGCTGTTGGATACTCGTTGGATTGTTTACAAAGTAGGCAAGCTCTTGCCTGCTCTTTGTGAGTTTTACTTATGGGTACAATTTCTGAATGACAGGTGTCAGGAGCTGTTACGATGAGGGCAAGCGTACAGCTGAAACGTTGACCATGGATTACCACCGTGGTGCCAACCTTGAGGTAAGTTGCAATCCAAAATGTCGGTTTGGTTGGATGGAATTCCATTTCATCTGCGACGAAGTAGATTCATCTTGGTGATTTCTTGCTGTTTTCAGGTTAGGATCGCACGTATCTTCAACACATACGGCCCTCGCATGTGCATTGACGATGGCCGTGTTGTTAGTAACTTTGTTGCTCAGGTAAATATGCACACTACTGTTTATTCTAGTTACAGAACCCAAAAGAAATGACAATTGGTCCTGTAGCACTGAAATTAACTACGTGCGATTATGGTTGCAGGCACTGAGGAAGGAGCCCTTGACTGTTTATGGTGATGGAAAGCAAACCAGGAGTTTCCAATATGTTTCTGATCTGGTAGGTCTATCTGTACCCAACATATATTGAAAAAAAGAAACACTTGATACAACATCAATGCCAGAGTACCAGATTTGATTTTTTTTTCCTGTGGCTTAGCTAGCAAGTGGGATGCTTGAAGTATTCATTACAAGGAATTTTGTTCTTTGCATTCATTGTACTGATTTGGGTCTTCTTCCAGGTTGAGGGTCTGATGAAGCTGATGGAAGGCGATCATGTAGGACCATTCAACCTGGGTAACCCTGGCGAGTTCACCATGCTTGAGCTTGCCAAGGTTGTCCAGGACACCATCGACCCCAATGCACAGATCGAGTTCCGTCAGAACACCCAGGACGACCCACACAAGCGCAAGCCCGACATCAGCCGTGCCAAGGAGCTCCTTGGGTGGGAGCCGAAGATCCCCCTCCGTGAGGGCCTTCCCCTCATGGTCAACGACTTCCGCAAGCGCATCTTCGGCGACCAAGACACCGCCGCCACCTCTGGAAACCAGCAAGGTTAGGATGAAGGCGCACGAGACTTGGGAAATTTTTGGTGGCCTGCTTCTAGCTGCTTGGGTTGTGCTCTCCTTACTGACAAAAGCTATATGGCCACGTAGTTCGTTGGGAATGTGTTACTGAAATACCTTGGTTGATGCTGTATTGCTATTCTTTTTCCTGTATTTTTTTCAGTTCTCTCAGTCCTTAGATATACAAAAAAATTTCAGTTGAACCGTTGGAGATAAACCCGGATGATCTAATTCTTTGTTGAGAGCATAGCATCATATATATGGTATAAATCACGTTTTCTGCAAGTGTTATGTATGCCTGCTTTGATGTCTTTGTTGAGACGCAGAGGATGCCTACCCTGCTCTCAGAAAATAGACTAGAACAAAGAAAGAAAGAAAGAAACATACAGTTCTGAAGATGAAACAAGATGACATGTTTTATTTCATTCACCGTCAGGCTTGTTTCTTATGTCATGTACAGTTCTTAGTCAACAACTGAAGAAGGAAAATGCAAATGTTTTCCATCTACTACATCCTACACTGTTGCTGGTGTGGTCGACCGCCCTAGTCCGCAGAGGCAGCTGCCGCGCCGTTGAGGACGACCGTGTGCTGGCACCGGACTCTCGGTGCCGCCACTGCTGCTGGTGACGCGGGTGATTTTCGTGGGCGCCGCCTGGCGGTGCTTGTTCTCAGGCTCTGGTGGAGTCCTTACCCGCTCATTGGGTTCCCAGTGGCGACTGCGCTTGTCGAGCCACGAGACAATGTCAGAGAACACCAGCTCCACGTTCTCGTCAGGCTCGCCGGCGGTGAGGCCGTGCCACATCCCAGGGTAGAGCTTGATGGTCTTGTCGGTGCTGGCCGCGCGCTCGTAGAGGGCACGGCTGACCTCGGGGTCGGTCACCGTGTCGGCCTCACCGTGCAGGATGAAGAATGGCATCGTCACCTGTGGAAACATATCAAGAAACAAAATGAAGGACGACCAGCAGTTGTTGCATCTGTCGACCGAAACAGCTAGCTAAAGCATTAGCCTGAGCCCTGAGGTTAGAATGGAATACCTCTGACAGGCTATCTTCCACATCCATGCTGGTCCTGAGCAGCTCCAGCGCTGTCTTAAGCCGGGGCTTGTCCTGGTAGATGAGCTTGTTCTTCCTGATCTGTTCATGATTGCACAAGAAGTTAATTCAGGGACCAGTCTCGAACTTCCGATATGTTACTGGTCACCTATAAATGGTTGTTCCACAAATAGCAATTCAGAACACACAGGTTCTGCTGACCTTTTCTCGCTTGACGGGGTCCTTGAATGCGGAGTCGATGACGTCTTTGGTGGGGACGATCTTCCACTTTGGGATGATCTCCTCCACTTGAGTCAGGAGGGTGACCACCACCGGGTGCGGTTTCACTTTCTCTGAAATCTGTAATGTTGCTTACATTTCAAGCTTCAGAAACCAAGCAGCAAGAGCTTATTCATGGCAGTTTAGTATCAAAGTTCAAACAGCACCTTGCACATTGGCGCCACAAGAACTGCACCGTCCCAGAAGGCCGGATCCTTCCTGTGCAGCAGGAGAGCGACGGCTCCACCCATCGACTCGCCATATAGAAACCGGCTTTTGTTTCTGTATTCCTCCATATCTGCAAAAGGAGTTCATTTTAGCCAATATTATTCAAACGAAGTTTAGTAGACTTTCAAAAATTGAGATACCAAACTGAATTATCATCCATTATCTAAGGATATATAGAGAATCTCATCTCTATAATACAATGAAACGCAGCTCTCCGCTGTTTTTTTTTAAAGGATATAGAGAGAATCAAACGTTACATTATAAACTCTCAAACTAGTATATATACTTGTGAAAATTTTGGCCTGTTCTGACAAAAGTTGTGGTGGTAAATATGCTATAAACTTCTGTAAAGTTTCTGCAGTAATTTTCAAGAAAATAACTGAAAATTCTAGAAATATTTTTTTTTTACCACAGATGGACTTGAAGAACCTGTCGCAGTCAGCCACGAGGTTTTCAAACTTCTGGATGTAGCACCTGGCGCCCATGGACTTGCCGTGGCCTTCATAATCGATACCAAACACACCATACCCTGCTGTGGCCAACTTGATCCCACATGCTGCCAGTAAACCATGTTCCCCCACCATTAGACAGGGCATCATGCCACCCAACAATTTTCAAGTGAAAGTAGCAAGGCAGACAACAGCGTTCATGATTCATGAACATCAGTGATCGATAAAGTCAATAGATCAGATTTCGGAGAAAGAACGTTCGCGAAGAAAGATTTCAGAGAAAGAAACAGAACGACTCAAAACAATTTTAACAAGTTACTTGCGTAGAAAACTATTAAAACTAGATGACTCCCTGTTCAATGCCTTGAATAAATAGGCCTATAAAACTACTAAAATTTTAACAAGTAACTTGCGTAGAAAACAATTTTAGCAGTTTGCAACTACAATCCCTGTTCAATAAAGCCTGATGACTCAAAACTAGATGCCAAGTGAAGGCGGACCAGTTGGTACGGTGTCAGCTCTGATTAGTGTGAAAGTGTCATTGCTTCTGTGCACCTGTTCTATTGCGAACCGGAGGAACAGGATGTTTCAGGGGAACCACCAGTTACCACCTGATGGCCCATGGGCATACATCAAGAAAGTAACTTGATTTCTTACAATATTAATTCAAAACAGACATGAAACTCCACTAGCTTTTGGTCACTGAACGCACGCAACAAACAACTATCTTTTCTGGAATCAGAGAGACGATGCACAAAGTCTCAGCAATGTGAGGATAATGATAGATGAATTCTAGAGTTTGAAATTTGTGAAGTTGACGTAAGAAATTAAAGATGATGAAAGAAAGAAAGGACCACGTCGTCAACATTTTAAAACGAGATGCCTGTTTCTTGAAGTGATCAGCAAATGCTGTTGGATGGTAGCTCACTAGTCAGATTTGTCCTTGCCTTTCTTTTGAGCATGAAAGTGACTTGCGTCGAAAACTGTGGCAGATCATAGTAGGGCCCAATTACCAGGTCAGTTATGTGCGTACCTTATCCAGCACAATTCTCTGAAGGATTGCCCTAAAAACTAAACTAAATTGTACTAGCACTGTAAAATAAACATAAGTATCAATATACAACCCCCTTTCTATTTTCTGTTTGTAGAATAACTAGAAAACAGAACAGTTTGATGCCAAAGTAGGACCATAATTTCATTGCGTTAAAGAAAAAAGGACCATAGTTTACAGATATCTATGTCATCTATCTTTATTTGGGCAAATATGGAGATGTAGGTATACAAAAAGTGTGAAACAATTATAAATCCAAATGAGACATTCCAGTTCTTACGTATTGAAATTTTATGAGCCAAATGATACAAAGAACACCGGAAGCTTTCCAATTAAGCTAGTATAGGGAATAATTGTGGTTGGAGCCCAAAAATATTTCTTATTATTGGATAATTGTCACTTTGCAGCTTGTGGCTTTGACAACCGGAGAAGATGATCGTGCAGCCTAGCCCACGAGATCAAGGCGTGCGGCACTGGTCGGTGTGCACCGTAAGTCATCTAGAAGATATGATTTATTATAACTCTTATAGATGTTGTAATCCAAATAGAATACCTACCGTATAGCCGACTACAATACTTTTCTTGTAACCCTACCCATCCAGAGTATATAAAGAGGGGTAGGGGTCCCCTAGTCGCCATGGTCATCTAGATCCAGATACAGATCCTGGGCTTAGCTTAGGGTTATCTCATCAATAAAAACCAACAGAGCACATGACGTAGGGTTTTACGTCATCTTGACGGCCTAAACATGTATAAATCTTGTGTCTCTGTTACCATCTAGTTCCTAATCACGCGTACCTCTACCAAACAAGCCCTCTCGGTGGACTGTCGACCAAGCTACCATCTAATATGTAAAAAATATTAATATTTATGGTACATAATTAATATCATTAGATAAATCGTTGAATCTAATTTTATAAAAAATTATTTAGAGATACAAATATGGTTAATATTTTCTATAAATCTAGTCAAACTTATTGGCACGCAAATTGTGGTGACAGATATCTAGATAGATACTGGGGTAGATAACACATGACGAAGAACAATACAATTTTACCGACATGTCAGGGCAAATGGTTTTGGTGCCTGTCTAAGTACATAATAAAAGTTGTATATTTAGAAAAATAACCTGTAAATTCGAACGGAGGAGTAACTGAAGATCGAGCACGTACGTCCATGGTATTAGCGAGCACCAAAATAATTAACGTGAAGTCTGATTAATAATACAGGTAGGATGTGGAGTCATGGTGACGACGCACGGCGAAAAAGCAAGTTAATAAATGCTTATTACATGTCCTAGACACATCACACACCAAGAGTTAGTGGAACTGAGACATCGATTTCGCTTTTCTACCGATCATGTCATGTGTGTGGTTTATTTGTGTTGTGTGCGCCCGAAAAGGAAAAGGCAATGAGAGGGACATGATCACGGGTATGCATGAAAACTGGGCGTACCTCTCATGAAGTCGCTGCACTCCATCCCGTAGCCTGAATTGAAGCAACACACAGGAACAAGAAAAGGTCAATGTCTATCCATTGATCCATGACAAATAAAACCATTCTTAATTACTAGAAATGTTCAAACTCTTTTGCTTTGATGATGCTATGATACTTATACTACACTAGAGTGCGGGAAACTTTGTTGCACACTTGGTAGAAGAAACTTATTAACCGAGGAGGACGCATGCGTCTTGCCTTGATTAATTGATGATAACTTGACCAATGCAAACCAGCAGGGTTCGGAACGGAGCTTAATTAATTACATATGGCCTGCGTACGTTCAACGTGTGTGTAGAGAAATTGATCAAGCGTAGAGGAGGCAACAGGCAAGGCGTACCATGGCAGAGGAAGACGAGCGCTTTGGGCGGGGAGGAGGACGCCGGCAACCAGCCGCAGGTGAAGAGCTGCACGCCCCTCGGGTTCCTCACGTACTCCTGCGCGGCAGCGGCACCCGTCATCAGAATGAAATAAATAGCTAGTCAACCGAGAAGAGAAGACCATCCAAATCAAATCGAATAGCTAGCGTAGAGATGAAGAACAGAAAATAAACTTTATCCGGAATTGAAGATATATAGCTAGCGCGCGCAGATTGAAGCAAGTAATTGACGATGAATTAACCAAGGAGTTTCTTTTTTTCTTTTCTTTTTCATTGATTGAGGTCAACAACAGGCAAACTATTAGATCGATGAAACGGCATCATATCATCGACGCAATCCAGCGAAGATCAAGAACATTAAACTTTAGCGGCAGCTTTGCTCACCTCATGGTACTCCACGTCCATCTTCTGGAATGATCAGCTAATCCTTGACTCGTCCTCAGAATCACAGCTTGGAGAAGAATCAGCTAGCAATACGCAGGGAGGAATGTTACAGAGAGCGCATGCATGCGCGGCTACAGATATCGCTAGCAGAGAGGAGGAGGAGGAAGGAGGAGGAGGAAGACGAAGAAGCGGTGGGAGACGGACGGGAAGGGAAGCGAAGCGAAGCGTGTGGAGGAGGCGCAACACGTGCCGTATGAACGCGGCCCGGCTGTATAGACAGGACACAGGATGGGGATCCTCCGTGCCGTATGTCAGCTGTGGGATGCCTGGCCTCATTCAGCCGCTGGCCTGCGGTTGCCGGAACGGAACAACCACCCTGCCCTGCCACGGTGCCACCGTTCCACGACGGGCGGGGGGTTGGTGGTGTCTGCCGATCTGATCCGCTCAATCGTCATCTGCCGGCATCATATCGACGACTACGACCTCCCCTTTCGTCTCGGGATGCTCAACGGCAGGCAGCCAACAGTTTATACAGATCGATCAGATGACGAGTATCTTCGCTTATTTTAGTGCTACTAACAATAATACCTTCAGCTGGAGATCATGGCTGTAACGGGAACGGAATGGCAACTAAACCTTTTTTGCGGCTGGTCTATATAACTAACTTAACAGAGGAGAAATTCCCTAAAAAAGGAGAAGGTAGTTTCAGAGAGAGAGAGAGAGAGAGGGGGGGAGAAGGTTTGCAAGATGAGCTTTAAAAAAGTGTTTCTCGCTGTTTAAAAATAGAAGAGTTAAATGTACTAGAAGTCCATCAACTTATGAGCAGGTTTCAGTTACGTCCATCAATTTTGAAAGTGAATTTTTAGGTCCATAAACTTTTTATGTTTTATCACTTAGGTCCATATCTCTGCACGATATCTTCCTGTGTTGATGTGACATGATGACTAGGCTCTCTAAAGCAGCTCTTTGCCGATGCATTTCGTCGAACAGGTTGAGTGCATGACCAGCGCCATTGCATCCACAGCAGCTTGGTCTCCTTCACCTGCGTCATCGTCGTCAGCTGGCACGGCCCACGTGCCCATCAGCTGCCTCGCGGCCGTGTTCTTCCTCCACATCGTCGTCGGCGCAGTGCATGCCGGAGGCCGAGTCCGCCGCTGCGGCCGACGTACGGCGCGGGCGCGACAGCGTCAGCCGCCTGCGGCGCCTACCTGCCGGACCAGCGCCTCCGGCATGCACTGCGCCTCTGCGGCTGCTTGTGGTCCCACATTTCCACACAGGTGAAGCTGAGCACGGCGCCGTGGCGGGCCAGGAGGTACACGAAAAAGTCACAGCACAGCGGCACGCCCATGGGCACTCTCGTCGGGCACGTTGCACCGGGGGCCGGCTTCCTCATCGGCCTGTTTCTTGTAGCCGCCAGCGTCGGTTGAGCCCGGTCACAGCGGGAGATATGGTGATGCAGTGCCTGGACGCCATCTGCGGGCAGCAGCACCGGTGTCGTCATTGTCAAGACAATCGAGAGCGCGCTGTACAAGTCCCATGGCTACTCATTACTCACTCTGGCTCTAGTAGCTAGCTAGCTAGCTAGCAGCTCGCACTTGACATTTGCCACGTCTACGGTCTACACCATCGATCGATCGAGATTGTAGTTCAGCAAGTTAGTCACGTCAGGAGGCAAGCTGCTGGACGAAGACGTGCGCGTGCACTAGGACAAAAACGATTTTTAAGTAGCGGGAGCTTTTTTTTTTTAAGTAGCTGGAGATCATGGCTGTAACGGGAACGGAATGGCAACTAAACCTTTTTTGCGGCTGGTCTATATAACTAACTTAACAGAGGAGAAATTCCCTAAAAAAGGAGAAGGTAGTTTCAAAAAGAGAGAGAGAGAGGGGAGAAGGTTTGGAAGATGAGCTTTTAAAAAGTGTTTCTTGCTGTTTAAAAATAGAAAGCCAACTAAGCAAGTGAAACATGAAGTTGCTTTTGTAAAAACTACTACTATAACTTTGGAAGCACCTCCGGCCATGCTTTTAGATTTTGGCTTTCTATTTTTCGAATTGACTCAAAGAGTAGCTTTCACAGCTCCTTCAAGGCAGATAGAGAGAGTAGATATGTTTTATACTTGTTTTCAACCAAACTGCTTACAACTTTTCTACGACACATAGCTCAAAAGCTTCTCCATTCAAGAAAGATAGAGGGAGGCGGGTTCTTATCTTTCCTATTCATAGTGCCTAGTTTTGTGCCTTTTGGGTTATACTTTCTCCATCCAGAAATAATACAATTTTTGTTTGTCAAGAAGTCAAAAAAATTTAAATTTGATAACATCTATAAAAACAAATACTTATGATATACCAAATAAATATCACTAAATTAGTTATGAAATATATTTTGATAGTATACATATAAATGTTGATATAATTTTGTATAAACTTAGTTAAATTAAGAAAGTTTAACTTATCAAGGGCATGTTCGGCAGGACTGAAAAATACTGTTCCGGCTGATTGTTGTGAGAGAAAAATATTGTTGTGTCTGGACGTGAATAGTATTTCTGTGAGTGAGCTGGCCAGTCGGGCTCAGCCCAGCCAGCCAGCCGAACAGCCTCAAGAACCTTGAATTATATTTTTTCAAACGAAGGGAGTACATTTCTTTTGATAAAGCTGTTCGTTTCGCTGAAATTTAGTTTATGCTGATTTATTGTGAGAGAATAACTCGCTAAAAAGTTCCAGCGCGGCCTGTAACTTATCAGTGTACGGCCAGTAAATTTACCTCGTCACAGTATTCTCCGGTCTCTGTGCAGTGAAAAAAAAAACCATAGGAGTACGCAGCATAGGGTGCACTTGATCGTGTTCAGATGATGCCTCTGCACGTCATACGGATACAAGCCGCACCGTCCGTCTGTCTGCGAGGCGACGCTTTTGTTTTGCGCATGTGCGGCGGATAGCAATCGGATGGGCTCGTCGCCTTTCTCGATGCGGTGGGCCATTGGGTGGAGGACAAAATCGGCAGGGTCCTAGTCCTACATGTCTGCACGCCCCATGCAGATGGGACGACACTGATGTAAACAGACACTGATATGGTTTTCACGTTCTCGAATTTGGATTCGAATACAAATAGTGTCAGTTACGTCAGGATTGGATATCAATGTTTGGATTTAGATACGGACAAATGTGAACTTTAAATGGATTCGGTCTCGAGTACGTTCAAAAAAAATATCCCTACGGTTTTCAACGACAGGCGACGGACAAGAGTCCGATCAAGAATCCACCCAGCAAATTTCGCAAGAATTTCACTCTTGAATGTTGATATATTTCCCTTGCTACACGAGACGAGTCTTCTAATCTAAAAGATTAGAAACGAGTCTTCTAATCTAAAGGATTAGATTAGTGATTATCCTAGTTGTCCATGGCTTATATAAACAACCTTACTTTACATGTCATGGTTAGTAAGATAAAACACAAAGAGCCAAAGTATATGCTGGTATGATAAAACTGGCTTAGTTATAGGCCGCCCCAGCGTGTACATAACTATATATATGGTCGGGCGTTCGTCCGATCGGACGCCGTTTCCCGGTCGCAAAAAAGTCTAACGCGCTACCCGTCGCGCTCGGCGCCGAGCGCGCGACACCAGGCCGCGACGGGCCGGCCCAGCAGACCGTGCGCCCCCCTCCCTCCATCCAACCCGCTGCGGAATTCGCTCGCCGGCCGCCCCCGAGGCACCGACGCCGAGCTTGTTGCCAGGCGAGCGACCCACCCACCCCCGTGCTTGTCAGCCATGTGCTACCACCACCACTGCGCTCGCCGGCTGCTAGTCATCTTTGCGCCCGTCGGCCACCAGCCTGCTGCTGCACGTGCTCCGGATCCAGGACCGCCGCGTCAGGTGGCAGACGTGCAGCGCCGCAGGTGGTCGAGGTCGCCACCCTCCAGCTCGCCTCCACCTCGTCCTCACCGCCCTCCAGCTCGCCTCGGCCGGCCGTATCGGTGCCTCCGTGCGCGGGTTCGCCGCGCTGCCGCCGCCATGCCCGCACGAAGAGGTCCCATTCGCAGTTGGAATTGTTGTGTTATTATTCGGCCTTCCAACTGAATCATCTAAGAAAGGTCTTTGTTCGTCCCATCTCTCAACTTCTGCACCAGCTTCAGTATCAACATCCATATAGTCAACTGAATCAATACATGAAGCAGGCACCTCGCATTGCTCTGCAAAGGAATGTTCTGAAGATGCTTCGCTTGTGGATTTGCCAAACTGCACAGAGCTTATCCTAATAGGACCAGGCGACCCACGCGCCTTGATCTGTGCTGGTATACGCTGTAGTCTGCAGGATTTCATTTGAAAATTGAAATTTCTTAGCATGTAGCAAGTTACATAAAAATGAAATTTTCATTTCAGTCCTGTTGTTGTGGCAAGTTACTCAATTGCTATTGGCATTACCTTGCGTTATGATTTGAGAGCTCTATTTTAGTTTTCATTTTGTCTTCTTTAGTTTTTAGTTATTATTTGTCAATTTCATTTCCATTATTTTTGTTGTCACTTTTTGTCGATCAATGGTTTTCCAATGTGTATTCTATATCTCTTGATATATTCATTGCAATTCTGGTAAATTAGTGAGTCCTGTCAGCCAGCTTGTAGTGAGACCCGAAATCTGATCATAGCCAATTCAATTTTGACTCATTTGCTCTTTCCACTATTAAGTGTGAGCAATGAAGGTATAACTAGGTCTGAATAGGTTCTTTTCTTTTGATGAACTACATTTTTCGTTTTACTTGTTATCTGTATTGGATGCTTTTAGTTATTTGTTTCAGGTTACACCATTGAATTCTTGTGCAAGGATAGGATTTTCACCAACTTAGTTAGCACTTGTTTCCATATTATTGTGATGATGTTTAACTGAGCTGTCTGTAATAAGATAGTGCAGTTTGAACTTTTAACTGATTCCCATCTTTATTTCTTTGCCAGACTGATTGGGAAGGTGGATACTTCCCTCTAACACATCATTTTAGTGAGGATTACCCTAGCAAGCCTCCCAAGTGCAAGTTCCCTCAGGGTTTCTTCCTCCCAAATGTCTATCCTTCTGGAATAGTCTGCCTTTCAATCCTTAACGAGGACAGCGTAAGCTTTGCAATCATTTTGGTAGCCCTGTGTGATGCTATACTGATTTCATGGCCTTACTGTTCCAAAAAAAAAATCTGTCAGGGTTGGAGGCCAGCTATTACTGTTATGCAGGTTTTCATCGGTATCCAGGACTTGCTAGATCAGCCAAATCCTGCTGACCCTGCTCAAACAGATGGTTATCACCTTTTTATCCAGGTTAGTCAAAATTGATGGACCACAACAAAGATATTGTTTGCCCAAAACCTTACTCCTTAGTTTTGAAGTTCAGATAGCCAATCACGTTTGTAACATTTTATTTGGCTTTGTAGGATCCTACAGAATATAAGAGGCGTGTTAGACTGCAAGCGAAGCAGTATCCCGCATTGGTCTGAGAACTTCGCCCTATTTTATTGTGATTTCAGTTTTTATTTTTAGTTTTTAATTTCAGCTAGCAATTTCAGTTATTAATTTCATTTTGTAATTTCAGTTTTTATTGGTCCGAGCTCCTCCCGCCTCCGTGGCTGGCTGCGCCGCCGCTGCGAACACGCACGAGACCGCCATGGCCCGCCGTGGGAGCTCGCAGGACCTCCGTCGCAGGACCGTGAGACCTCCACACGTGCTCCGCGCCCAGCCATGGCCGAGCCTCCAGCCACCCACCGAAGCTCGCCCCGCTTATGTATTCTATACACATGGGTGTGCGCATGGTGAACCCGAGCCTGACCTTCCCAGCTCGATGTGCGCCTGATACTGAAAAGGATTTTTGGGCACTGAGAGGGATTTACCATGGCACGAGTAGCAGATTGGAGAGGCTACTATTCTGATCTGCTCTAAAATCAGTTCAGTATATTTAAGTATCATCCAGTATATCGGAGCTCTTCTTGATGGTTTTCGTCTTCGATCATGTGTTCTAATTGCTGTAACTTTAGTTCAGCATTGATTGATTCAGTCCTGCACACTACCACATCTTTCTTTGCAGTGCTGATGCATCTCTTGTAAAATTCTGAATGTAATGTCTTTGCCATCCTGATCGGGGAAAAAA